AGGGGGAGTTGGGATCGGGGGATTTGGGATCGGTGGGAGTTGGGATCAGAGGGATCTGGGATCAGTTTAAATTGGGAACACAGGGAGTTGGGATTGATGGGATTTGGGATCAGAGGGATTTGGGATCACGGGGATTTGGGATCACGGGGATTTGGGATCAGAGGGATCTGGGATCGGTTTAAGCTGGGATCACAGGGAGTTGGGATTGGGGGGATTTGGGATCGGGGGATTTGGGATCAGGGGGATTTGGGATCGGGGGATTTGGGATCAGGGGGATTTGGGATCAGGGGGATTTGGGATCAGGGGGATTTGGGATCAGGGGATTTGGGATCAGCGGTAGATCAGGGAAGAGGATTTGGGGCAGGTTGGGGTTTTGGAGGAGCCTGGTGGGAGCTGGATTGGGAATCACGGAATTATGGAATTGTGGAGGTTGGAAAAGCCCTTTAGGATCGAATCCTAATTAAGATCTCCATTCCAAGGATTTGGGGTCTTTCCCTAAATTTAATCCAAGAATTTGGGGTCTCTCCTTAAATTCAATCCAAGAATTTGGGGTCTCCCTAAATTCAATCCAAGGATTTGGGGTCTCTCCTTAAATTTAATCCAAGGATTTGGGGTCTCTCCTTAAATTTAATCCAAGGATTTGGGATCTCCCTAAATTTAATCCAAGAATTTGGGATCTCCCTAAATTAAATCCAAGGATTTGGGGTCTCTCCTTAAATTCAATCCAAGGATTTGGGGTCTTTCCCTAAATTTAATCCAAGGATTTGGGGTCCCTCCTCATCCACATCCCCAAGTGCCTCTATCCCAAAATCACCCTTTCCCAGCCGGAATTTCCCCCATTATCCAACCCAAATTCACCCCTCCAGCCTCATTTTCCACGGAAAAAAATCCCATCAGGGTCACGCCGGGTTGGGGAAAACCCCCCGGAATTCCAGGATTCCCGGGGTTTTTGTTTTTCCAGGTGGTGAATCCCGAGGACGTGTTCTGGAAGTGCGGCCTGGGCTACCCGCACACCTCGCACTGCCTGGGCAGCGGGGAGGTGATGATCAGCGCCTTGGGAGACCCGGCCGGGAACGGGAAAGGTATCCCGGAATTCCCATGGAAAATTCCGGGAATTTTTCCCCACGGGAATTTTCCCACCGGGAGGATCCGTCCGGGAGAATCCGATGGGTCGGGTTTGGGGAAAAAGAACGGTGGGGGGTGTTTGGGGTGGGAATTGTGGGATTGTGGA